AATATCAACGGAACCTCAACTCATCTTGAAAATATGTAGACATTTTAATCAATAAGGAAAATTTATGCTTTTCCATTTAGCTGCATACCCTTCAGCATCACTTTGTAGTTCTGTATTACTGAGCTTCACAAAGCTCACTCTTTTACTCTCCATTTCAGGTTAAAAGAAATGATCTGGTGTAGATATCGACATCTGTAATGGGAGTTCCTTTAGCTTGGGTTGAAGAGTATGGTGCAAGTGTGGGGTATGTATCTCACATTTGATTTTTTTTATGATGAATATGAACTTATATGATTTTAATTGTATTTGTAATACATGAATGAATTTCTAAACTTATTTTTTAATTATAAATTATTTTATGATTTTATGCGCTTTAACAGAAATTTTAATTTTTTCAAAATTTTTACCGTAGGTCGCTCTGATGGTTCTAATGTGACATCTCGTATCAAATCGAGTCAATCGCATTGGTCCAGGGGTGTTACACTTGATCTCCTAGAGTTGTTAGACGAGTGGCTTTGCCTTGATGAAGACATTTTCTCCTGATACTCAACAAAAGGAAAAGAAACATATATCTATGAATAACAGATACCATAAAAGAATTCTACACTATAGAAGTAAAAAGTAGTGGCATGGCTGCAAACAAATTTGAGATAAGAAAACTTACACTCTATTTGGTTGATGCTTTTCCTAGTTTACCTTTATCTACTTTTATTCATTTTTAGTTTTTAAATTTTGTTGTCTATTCATTTTTAACTTTTTCCCAAAAGCATAAAGCAAGTGGAGACCATAAAGGTTCAAGAACATTGAAGTCTAAACCAGTAAATAATCCAGATTTCCCTATAGCATTAGAGCAAGAAATTTGGGTTCCCAATAATTTCTTTGTTCAGTTTTTGGACAGGAAGGTAGGATAGGAACAAATTTAAGAGACACAGAAGAACCCCATGAAGGATTTTGCTTTCTAGACATAAAAATTATGTCCTTTCAATCAATAACTACAGCTTATGAGCAAACCAAAATACTCAAAAGTTTCAAACTTTAGGTCTCTATGATCCATAATTCAAAATCCAATAACCTTAATCATGAATTCACCTTTGCCTCCCATCCCACAAACCCAAATTAGCTCAGCTAAAAAGAATCCATCCCATCATTACTAGCTATTGTAAAACAATAATCAGCATTTTAATTTAGCTAAAAGGATAAACCTTTTGATTGAGAAAAAAGCAGAGGGAATGGAAAGGCAGCTGTTATCTGTGACTGTGACGATGAGTTTGAAGAAGAACTTGGAAATAAGAATCCCAATCTCGGCCAGGAAACCCAGAATCCATCACCAATCGAATTATAGAAGAAACCCACAAAAACCCAAAAAGGAAAAAAAACTCGACAACCGCCTTGAAAGACTAGCAGCACTTTACCATTACCAGCTAGAAGGGACCACCATGATAACATAAAATAATACTATAATAAAGTTTTTTCTCCATGGTGACAGTGGATTGGCGATTGGTACCAATCCGATATGAAGATTTCACCTTTATAATAATAAAATAAAAGAAGAAATGGTTTCCCAGTCAAGGATAACAGCGGCAGTTAAGATATCATCGGCTTTTTATATTTGTTTATCCCTGTTTATTTATTGAAGTATTCCTCTAGGTTATGGGCTTCTGTCTTTTTATTCAATAAAAGAAACCAACTTTCCAAATTGGATTTGGATAAAAACAAAAACTTTACAGTAATAAGCCCATGTTAATGTCAATCAACATACATCTTCATTCATTAACACTCATGATCCTATATATTCGGGAGTTTTATTGTTAATGTCAATCAACATACATCTCCATTCATTAACACTCATGATCCTATATATTCGAGAGTTTTATTTTGGGATAGAGTAAAAGCAGCAAGTAGTTGGAAATTGCAGAGGCAGCCATTGTGGATTTTGGGGTAACCCAGTTGTGTTTGGCATGGAGCAAAATGGGACCAAAATAGCAACAAAAACATGTTAGGGTAAGAGTCAGTAGTCACATGCAAATAGACAGAATTTGGGCCATACCAGAATCCAAAGAAGTTTGGTTGGCTTGATCAGTAGGGTCCATGTCTAGTTTCCCACTTTCCTCCTAACCCTATCCCTTCATCCATTTTTTCAGACTTGGAAGATAGAGATACCCTTTGTCGGTTCCATCACCCCTTTCCTTCCAAGGAAGCTCCATGAGTGAAATATTTAATTTCTAGGTAAACTATATTAGATATCATTTTATTTGGCTGATTTTTTTGCAATAATGCAGTTAAAAAAATTATTCGAATAATATATTCAAGAGATTATTTGTTTGAATGAGATGAATGTTACAGTATACATCGGATTCGCTCTTCACGTCTCCCCAAGGTCGCATGGAATATCATAAGACTCCCCATCCCCGGATAACCATGCTTCTTTCCCATGTTATTTTTTTTTGCACTTTTTACTTTGTTATATATATTATATATATAATAAATTTCTGAATTTATTATTGGGGAAAGACGTATGGTGGTCCGGGGAGGGGAAAGTCGCATGGTGATCTATGCGGCCTTGGGGAGACACGAGGAGCCAGTGCGACTCCGATGTGTACTATAATATTCATCCCATTCGAGCAAATAATCTTTCAAGTATACTATTTCGAACAAATTTTTTCGACTGCATTATTAGAAGAAAAACACCCCATTTTACTTAGATGTATTATTTAAGGTAAAGTATATAAATAGTTTTATGACTATAAGATATTGTTTTATTGAATCCTCGAATATTAAAAGTTATAAAATTGTCTTCCAACTACATGAAGTTGTTTTGTTAAGTTTCTCAACTATTAAAAGTTACAAAATGATCACTCGACTATTCATTATGTTCCAAACTTATTTGTTTCCGTTAAAAAAATTAATGACAATCTGAGTTAGACATTAACATGCTGACTGAGATATAATAAAATCTAATCTTATAATCTCAAACTATTATCATATTTCATTCATCATATTAACGTCCATCTCAGAAGATAGTTAATTTTTTAACAGAAAATGACGAATTTGAAACATAAGTAGTAGTCTGATGACTATTTTACAGCTTACAATAGTCGAGAGACTCAACAAAATAATTCCGGATAGTCGGGAGACATTTGTACACGTTATCATATATATCATTAAATTTTTAATTAATTCAATTAAATTATTAAAGTTTTGTTTTTGTTTCAATTATGCCACTGAATCATTAATATGATAATGACAAGATAATATTGATGATGTTGCTGACATGAATGTCACATCACAATGACACCATTTGATGAGGAAAACTAATAAAAATATAAACAAAATGCGCTTAAATTGGTTTGAACATGGAACCTTTTACCACTAGACTAAGGTAGTGTTTGTTTTTACTGTGTAAGTTCTTCAAACTACTTATGTCTGCGTCGTGCAGACCACGCGCATACATTAGGCTTCGCAGATTGTTTGTTTTTTAGAAGACAGAAGCTCTTCAAACGTCTGCGCGAGCTCTTCTTGGTGCAGACTTGATTTTATGTCTTCAAAGGTCTTCAAACCTCTTCAAGAATAATTATAAAATATAATTATTTATTAAAATAATTTTAAATATTTTAATAAGATTATTTATTTTAAAATAATTTATTTTAAAATAATTTATTATAAAATAATTTATTTTAAAAATAATTTATTATAAAATAATTTATTTTAAATAATTTATTAGTATGAATTGATTTATTTTAAAATATGGATTGATTTATTTTAAATAATTTATTAGTATGGATTGATTTATTTTAAAATATGATTTGATTTATTATTGTAGTTGTATATTTTGATTTATTTTAAATAATTTATTAGTATAGATTGATTTATTTTAAAATATGGATTGATTTATTTTAAATAATTTATTAGTATGAATATGGATTGCTTTATTTTAAATAATTTATTAGTATGGATTGATTTATTTTAAATAATTTATTAGTATAGATTGATTTATTTTAAAATATATATTGATTTATTATTGTAGTTGTATAGATTGATTTATTTTAAATAATTTATTAGTATGGATTGATTTATTTTAAAATATGGATTGATTTATTTTAAATAATTTATTAGTATGGATTGATTTATTTTAAAATATAGATTGATTTATTTTAAATAATTTATTAGTATGGATTGATTTATTTTAAATAATTTATTTGTATGGATTGATTTATTTTAAAATATGGATTGATTTATTTTAAATAATTTATCAGTATGGATTGATTTATTTTAAAATATGGATTGATTTATTTTAAATAATTTATTATTGTAGTTGTATAGATTATTTAAATTTCAGCATTCTAAAACTAAAATTATTTAAATCTCAGTATTGCAAAACGCTTTTAAGTTTAAAAAATCAGTTTATTTATATTTCAGTTCATTTTAGCAGTCTGCATACGTTAAAAAACAAACAGTCTTCTTCTTGCAGACTACAGACTTTTGGTCCACCTCTTCTGCTGCAGATGCCTGCAGATGTGGTTTGCAGACTGCAGACCTTTTACCTCTGCAAAAACAAACACCACCTAACTTTGAATTTTATTATAATTCTCATTAAAATGACATTGTTTCAATATAACATTTATGCCAACAGTCGTAATTCATGTCATCATGTTATTATCAAATTAACGATTCGAAGATATAATTGAAAAGAAAAATTAAAATTCAATGTTTCAATTGAAATAATTGTAAATACAGTGATACAAACTATATAAAGCTTAAAGTTCAGTAATATATAATATAGTTTACTCTTAATTTTTTGAGGGATATATATATATATATATATATATATTGGGAGATATAAAATCGGACTAAAATTATATATAAACATTTTAAAAATACAATACCGAATTTTGTATATGTATTTTATGTTAATATCTTATTTAGTAGAGAAATTAAACACTTGTGAGATGTTGTAATTGCCGAGTAAGTTGTAACATGAAAACAGCAATGTCGCTAAAGAGTTTGGCAAACTTGCTTTTTTCAATCTGAAGAATGAGTAATCGATGCTTGTATTTCCTCCAGTGTTCGCCCTTTCGTCTCCGGTACCATTGCCACCGTCAGGACAAAGTTTGCACAGCAAAAGGCAGAAAACATGAAGAATGTCCCTGAAACAATGCCAAAAGAAATGCAGTAATCTGTAAGGTCAAGAAGCTTGAGATATGTTACATTAAAAATAAACAACGCAATCAATCACCTGCAGAGTTCCATTTGATTAGGTAGTTAAAGTAGTACGCGACAAACCAACCAAAGATACTGCCGATAACATTGCAGAGGCTTCCGGCTGAACCTTTTACGTTGATCGGAAACAACTGTGACACAAGTAACAGTTCCATATGATGCAAGTACACATGACTGAATAAGTAACATAGGCGAACACAATTTGCAGACCTCAGATAGTAACAGCCATGGTATTCCAGCACCGAGTACATTCATTCCCATATGCATCTGAATGCATAATCCAATGGTTAGAACTTCTAAGAAAAATAAAAAGGAGGAAATCGAAACGAAAGCGGAAAAGGGAGTACTACCGGTAAGCCAATGAGTGCAAAAACATGACTACCTTGATCCCACCAATGAAACTCCTGCTCATTGATCATTGTATCTGAGATGTCAGGACATAGTGAAATGCAGCAACAATATCAAAGGGACTAGTGCGAATTATCCGAATTCGAGTCATTACATGAGTACCTTTTAAGAAAAATGATAGTCCTACGAGGAAGCTACTGAAGCACAATCCAGCTGAAGAAACCTGATAAACACAATGAAATCATTGTTCATTAACACTGCATATTAGTCAACAGATTATTACTAAATTCTTATCCGTTGCTAACCAGTAGGAGCGGTCGTCTACCCAATTTATCGATCACGATTGTACCCAAAATACCAGTCACTGTCTGCAATGCAAAACAACGGTTCTTTAGATAGACATCATCCCATCAATGAAGAATTTTGCTTACAGTGAAGCAAACCTGAACAGCTGCCAATGCGATGAGTCCGACCATGCTCGAAACGCCTTTCAATTGTCATAAAATAAAACTTCATATAGTTGAACTTTTCACAACTTTTCTTCCATTTTAATGGAGGTTGTTAAGAGCAGTAATATTACCAGATGAGACGAAAATAACACCAGAATAATATGCAAATGCATTGAGTCCTCCCAAATTCATCAGGGCAAGCATTCCAACAACAATCTATAAGGAAAACAAGAGATATATCAATTATATGGAAAGAATAGAGAAATTGATCAATTTTTAAACAAGTTACTTGTCTTACAAGCAATGGACGAATATACTTCTTCTGAAATATGTCTAAATTTCCTTCCTTTGAGAAACTTTTAAGAGATTCCACAAAATCCTGTAACAAAGAAAGTTCAGAGAAGCAGGAATTTTGCCATGATGAAAGTTGATAATTTTTTTCTTAAGAAAAGAAAATGAAGGGTTACTTTGATTTTGGTTGCTTCATCGGAAATATCAGCTTTATCTCCCCTGAGGCACAACAAAGCGGCTTCGAGCTCTTTGTGACGACCAACTTTTGCCTGCAGAGAAATATTCTCAGTAGTTAGTCTGGTTGGTAATGAGATTTTCTGATTTCTTTCGACTCGAACTCACCAGCCATCGAGGAGATTCCGGTATGAAGAAGAGGAGTAGGAGTTGAAGTAGACCAGGACTAGTAGCTGTATGCAAAAACCATTCCGGAACTGTTACGAAACTATCAGATTGCTTAACCGATTCGTATTTATTTAAGAAAATTTTAGATACCTATGAGAGCCAAGGTGCGCCAATTGACAAAGGAGCCAACAATATACATGAATGAAATGCCCCAACAAACCATCAACTGGTGACCAAGTAGTACAAGAACCATGAGCCAGTAAGTCCATTGCAGGTTATGTTTGATTAATTATGAACTTTACCGGCACTATGACTGCAAATCTTCCCCTGACATTCTTTGTTGTTATTTCTGCAATGTAGATGGGCGCCTGTTCGAGATCAAAATGTAAATACAATTATCCACCGTAAGCCGACATTTAACAGCAAATGGATAAGAAAATGTATCAGAGCAAACTTCAGATGAGTTACCAAATAACCGGAGATTCCATTTGTGAATCCTAATGATAGTCTTCCAAGGTCAAGCAACCAAGGGACCTTCCCAAAACAAATGAAAACACGTATTACGAACAGGTAAACTGATTCATAACAGCCAGGATTCTAGTTAGCATTGTGAGTCATCATGGAAAAACAATGCAACTTGATATCCGACTTAGTACATAAATCGAGCATGTCGTAAACGAAAAGCTTATAAAGGAACGAGCAGAAGAGCTAAAACCTTTGCAAATGCTATGACAAGCCAGCCACTGATGTAGAACAAATTCAAAATCCACATGGTCTGATCCAAAGACATGGAGTTAAACAGCTTGTAGGATTTTAGCATATCAATATTCAACGACGCCGGACAAAGCATACCAATTTCCGACCGAGCAAATCGGTTATCTTCCCTCATATTACAGCACCTAGGGTTGCCCCAATACTCAGTGTTGAACCAAAAAGTGAAAACTGCAGAAACAAAGAATTGGTTGTAAAACTGGAAACTCTTATAGACCTATTGGAATGCAATTAAGTTTAGCAGACACGTAAATTCTCCAAGATTAGAACTTTAAGAAGCTCCTCTACTTGCAGACATTTTTCAAGGCAAGAAAAGCAAATATGAACATAATTAGTGGATGAATTCATTTACCTCTGCAACAGAAAGTCCCAAGTCTTGCATGATTGAAGATTGAGTAGGTGATGAATAACCTACCTGCAATGCAATCACAGAAAATAATAAGTTCTATCTTGTCGCAAATTCCAGAAACATTAAACTGTTCAAAAAAAATTCAATGAAAATACACTTACAGCACAGCCAACGCCAAAAGCAATGCAAGCTACCGTGAAGGTGCTAAGAGCAAGAATGGCGGTAACATTATCCCCAACACCAAAAGCACCATTTTCTTCACTGTAAGCAACGTTGCCATCTCCTTGTCTAACGAGAAGAGACTCATTTACTTCAGTTCTTTGCTGCACCATAGCTCGTTTCACTTCAAAGACACATACGTGATGCAAATACTCTAAATAGAATTAATAATATCTTAAAGAATACTTTAAAAGGGCCATATATATCAATCAAGTTATTGGTAGGTTGGTAGAAAAAAAGTTTGTGGATTTATTTCAACAATGAATGCAGTTGGCTAAAAGGACAACATCTTTCTTGCTTCTCTCCATCTACCCGTATTGATAATTAGTGTACATTTCGTGTTAATATATTGTGTTTATAAGAGAAACAGAAACCAGTTTTTCTGTTTAGTTTGTCTTCTCTTATAATCGTGAGGGTCCTCAGTTAATCAGTTGTGTCGGTGCCGTTTTCTGGACGGGTTGGGTTTCAGCAAGAAGAAGGTAAACTAAAGGTGTCCGAGTTTGTGCTTCGTTATGCTCAGGGACGGACGATTTTATATCAAGGGATAAACATATAAATTTTTAAAAGGCAAAACATATCACTAATAAAAAATCTAAATCATGTTAGGATTTATATTAGTTTACATATCAACTTTTTTTGTGATTGTGCTCTCTTTACGTTAGGACCCATGTGCCTACGGATTTATATATTGTATTTTATGAAAATGAAAAGAAAAATATGTTGAAATCAAACCCACCTGAAATAAAATCAAGATACATGATTAAATAGTTGGCAAGGCGACAAGGCAATAATGCAAATAATAAATTATGGAAGTGCAATGGACGCCAAAGAGGACAAAATGGCCAAAAGCAATATGCAACTTGGTTCGAAAAAGTTGTGGATAAAATGTAAACATCGTTTACTAGTGAGCATTAGAGGTGGGTGTATGGGTTAAGGCCCGCGGGTTATCCGTTTAACCCACGGTCTGTGCAGGTTTCGGGCTTAAAAAACTGAAGCTCGTTTAAATTGCGAGTTTTTTAATTTAGACCGTTAAACCCGTGGATTTAATGGGTGTAACCGCGGGTAGCCCGCGAAATCCGCAATAGTCCGTTTAATTTAAAATTTATAAAATTTTAGATAAAATAAACTTAAAGAATTTTATAGAAAAAGAAAATAAATTACCTATAAATATGATGATACTTATAACCATTGTAGTTTTTAAATTTATTAGGGCATTTGTCATAATTCTACCGCTGCTTGATATTTTTTTCATTTACAATGTATCAAATTATTCTTCATTTTAAAAAAATAAAAATTAAAAGATTTATATAGTATTTTAATCTTATAAAAGTTACATCATTATCACTTTGGTATTTAAAAAAAATTTTTATTTAATTTTGACCTTTATTTTTTTCATGAAGTATGTTATTTATTTCGTTCTTTAATTATAAAAAAATCACGTGATATTCTAATAATATATCACATGACACGTAATATTTGGATTAAAAATAAGAAAGAAAAGTAAAAGAAAAAATTGAAAACATACTTTTCAACTTTTAAAGGCTTTTACAAAAGAAAATTTGTTAGATTTGTATAATGTTTGACTTTGTTGAATTTTTCTGTTTGAATTTCTGCTTGTAGACACTTCTGTGTCTTCATATTATATCTTTGAATAATCGTGTTTTATAAAAGTATAATGTGGTTATTTTTTATTTGTTTTTAAATTTGGTGATATAAGTGAATATTGTTTTTTTAATTTGAGTTTAAGTAATTATATATATATATATATATATATATATATATATATTAATGATTAAAAAAATTAAAAATATATATTATTTTATAATCATTTCCGGCTATTTAAAATAAAATTTCAATATTATTTATTATTTTGACGGTGCTACCTTCATTTTCAAGTTACTGGATCATTTTTAAAGGTGTAGCAAGTTAGAACATTATTTTTATTGCAATTAAAGCATTTAAAATTATTTTTATTTAACGGGCCGCGGGTAAACCTGTTTAACCCGCGGGTTAAATGGACGGGCCGCGGGCCTTAGAATTCAAAACTGTTTATGAGTGTGGACTTTTTAAACCGATCCGTTTAAGCCAGCATCATCAAAACCCGCGGGCTAAACGGGTGGGTAGCCCGTATACCCACCTCTAGTGAGCATGGATAGGCATGAAATTCGAATATAACAGGTTCGACACGATCGGGTTGGATTTTTAAAACAATTTCGGGGTTGGGTTGAGTTCTTGTCGAGTTAGGTTGGATTTTTT